CTCACGGATAGCCAGAGAAGCCATGGGGGTCACCAGGGGAAAGTTGCTGCCCTTTCCCATGGAAGCGATGATTCCCGCTGCTTAGATATATTGTCCACTTGCCAGCGATGCCATTGAAAGACAACAAAGGGGCCTGAAAGAAACAAGGACTGTGCGTGAGACGGAGCAGGGATAAAGGAGACTCAAAACAAAGCAAGCAAGCAAGCAAGAATACAGACACTGCAAGTCTGCTTGCAGCAGCAATATTACGCGAGTGCAAAAGAACTGTGCTATGCATAAAATGTCAGACTTGGGAGGAAGACACATGCACTGCATCTGACACATAGCACCACCTCTTAGAATATTTGCACCATAGGCTTTGCATCACTTTTGCGGGTGTGCAAAAATATTATGTGCAGCTACAAGTATATTCAGTGGGTTTGGGTGAACCAGGTTTATCTTGTCCATTTGTCTGTTGCTTGCTGTCCATCAACATGTGAAGTTGTGTGCCAAAAGCTGAATCTTGCACACATACACATATGTGGTTTCTGATAACAATCACTAATTTTGCACTGCAATCCTACCTATTTCTGCTCAGAATTAAGCTCCACTGAGTTCAATGGGAGTTACTTCCAGGTAAATAAGTGTGTAAGGCTGGGTTTCACGAAGGAAGGGGTAGCATTTTCCCAGCAACTTGTTTGAGTCTTGGGGGGAAATGTGACTTCTCTCTATCAGATTAAACAAGCTGGGTAAAATATATTTGGACTCACAGTACAAAGTTCACCTCCAGCTGTGATTACTTCGCTTCCTAAACTTTGCAGTCTGCAGAGTGAAACTGTCCTCACACACAAAAAAGTTATTTGTGCCTGTGAAAATGTGATGTTGCAAATGTTATTTTTGGTTGCTTGCTTCTAATTCTCCCCAATTCTTGCTTGCTTCCCCAGCCCCCCCCCCAGGTGAGAAGAAGACTGCCAGTCAGTTGGGGGAGGGGATCCCCTCTTAATAATGCATGATGGAAAGGGACCAGGACAGTGGAAGGCGATGCTGAAAAATTCAGAGCTATGACAAAGGGAACATGACTCTGGTTATTTGATCTCTGCTTTTCTGCTGGCTCCACCAAATCATGTGCTTGTGTAAAGTATCGGAGTTGCAGGAAAGGCTATGAAGTTGTGTCAATATGTCTAGACAGCAGATCTTTTTTTGTAAACTACCTTAAAACTCTAATTTGCACGTTCTTACAGATAAAAGATTTAGCACTGCAGTCCCATTTCAGAAAATGCACGGATCCCAGTGAACAGCTTCATGCTTACAGGATGGCAGTTCCTTGCATGCATTCCTACATTGTTTTATTGCACTCAGAATAATGGACCAGTTAAAAAAAGAGAGAGCATCTCACATGCATAAACCAGTGCAGAATGTCACATCAAAGAGGCACACCAGGAGCCCAATGTGGATCAGGTGCACAACTGCTACCTACTCTGGCTCTCAACAAGAGGAATAATAGAATCACAGAATTGTAGAGTTGAAATGGAAGCTGAGGGTCATCTAGTCCAACGCCCTGCAATGCAGGAATCTCATCTAGGTCATATATGATCTAACTCCTGTCTTCCACTGCCTCCCGCAGTTTGGTCTGACCAAACTGCGGGAGGCAGTGGAAGACAGGAGTGCCTGGCGTGCTCTGGTCCATGGGGTCACGAAGAGTCGGACACGACTAAACGACTAAACAACAACTGCTTAGAAACCTCCAAGGAAGGAGAGTCCACCAGCTCTTGTCACAACAGCTGTAAGTGTCAGAAAAGTTCTTCCCAATGTTTAGTCAGAATCTCCTCTCTGGTAACTTGGTATGAGTCCTACCCTCCAGAGCAGGAGAAAACAAGCTTGCTCCAAAGTGACAGCCTTTTAGATATTTGAAGATGGCTTTGTGAACGAGCAGAGTTTGGTGATGCAGTTCCTCTGAAACTCCACCAGTGTGCTGGAGCCTCTCACGGACTGGCTACAGAGTCACTTTGGGGGGGGGGGGAGAATAAAAGGAGCAGTTTCTGAGAGAGAACGTTAGGCAGGGGTTTGGTTTTGAGAAGGGGCAAAGGTTCAGGTTAAGAAACATGGTTTGATTGGAGTTGGGAATTAGGGAATGAGATAAGGAGAACTGGTTCTGAGTGAAGTTCAACACACACTGAGAAGACTATCCATAGTGAGAGGACAGAGTCTTGCAGCTTGGATAGGGAGACCTGGTTGAGGGTCTGGGAAAGGTATAGAGACAGGAGTGTCCGGGGAAGGCTGTGAGTGAACCGGGAAAGGTAGATCTTGTGGGAATGCAGGCTACCAGGGTGTCAGTGTAGCCAGGACGGGAGAGTTCTTCTAGGTATTGAAGACTCCTAGCCCAAGGGGTGAGGTGATCCCCTGGGTCTGAGAATACCTCAGGTGTAGGATTGTTAAAAGAGTGGGTAACTGAGAAGTGAATCAAAGTATTAAGCTATAAAGGAAGCAGGATAGTGTCAAAAGTATTTAACTGTAATATCTAAGTGACAGAAATGGAGTCAAGCATTTTACCAACTATTCTAGAAACCTGGATATTTACCACCTGAAGTGTTAACACCTGATTTTTTTGTAACTGAAGTTTACGAAGAGTTGTTCCTATAGTATTGTGTTTAAGACTGAGTCATCTCATAGTTACTTAAGGTAAATAAGTTAACTTCTACCTGAAAGAACGCATTTCTTGGCTCACTTCATTTCATAAACTTCTTTTTGTTTAATAAAGCTTTTCTTTAGAGTCCAAATCATTAAGTTTTCCCTCACACAAGTCCCCCACTAGATAATCTGTGGTAAATTGTAGAAATGTGTTTAGTTGGTGTACCGTAAGGTGTGTGCACTATATTTAATTGGGGGAAGTTAGTGGGAGTGGATCTGCCACATTATTAATTGGTGGTAATAAGTGCGGGGTCCACTGCAGCTACCATATCTCCCTTCAGTCTCTTCTTTTCCAAACTAAACACACCCAGCTCCTTCAACTGTTCCTCATCAGGCTTGGTTTCCAGACCCTCGATCATCTTGGTTGCCCTGCTCTGCACACACTCCAGCTTGTCAACATCCTTCTTAAATTGTCATACTCAGAACTGGAAACAGTATTCCAGATGTGGTCTGACCAAGGCAGAATAGAGTGGTACTATGACTTCCCTTGATCTGGACACTATACTATTGTTGATGCAGCCTAGAATTGCATTAGCTTTTTCTTCCTTTTTTTGCTGCTGCTGCATCACACTGTTGACTCATGTGAAGCTTGTGGTCCACCAAGACCCCTAGATCCTTTTCACATGTACAGTGGTACCTTGGGTTACATACGCTTCAGGTTACAGACTCCACTAACCCAGAAATAGTACCTTGGGTTAAGCTTCAGGATGAGAACAGAAATTGTGCCCTGGCAGCGTGGCAGCAGTGGGAGGCCCCATTAGCTAAAGTGGTGCTTTAGGTTAAGAACAGTTTCAGGTTAAAAACAGACCTCCGGAACGAATTAAGTATGTAACCAGAGGTACCACTGTACTATATTAGTAAGCCAGGTGTCCCTGGCTTTTGTCCTTTCATCCACATACATGTTTCATCCATAATGCTTCTCAAACCAGTTCAAATATGTTCTATCCTTTGCAGCTGGGCAGCCTATTTGCATCTTTCTACCTACTGCATTTTCCCTCCTTTTGACTTTGCTGCATGAAATGTGACTTGCGCATGACGTAGCATCTGTGCCAGCTTGCTCTTTAAACTGTGGACTTGCCACTCCAAATATTGACACAGGCCTTTATCTTTTCACCCTAGCTAGCTGGGCGATTCACTGAAATAAAACGCCTCAAGTGTGCAGATACTCATGACCGTTCATGTTATATTGACCAACTGCATAATGGAGTACAGAGTTCATAAAGGTTGTCAAATACATGGCAGATGTGGAACTCTGGGAGTTGGTTAATATAGAGACTGAAAGTCCAGTAGTAATCATTTTGGCCATATGCATAATATACATTTATAGCACTATGACACCAAACAGTCATGGCTTCCCTCAAAGAATTCTGGGAGCTGAACTTTGTTAAGGGTGCTGTCATAGCTAAGATAGCCCGAAACAGGTTGTTACAAAGATTGAAATCCTAAACACCATTACTGGAGTGTAGACTGCATTGAGCACAGTGGGACTTACTTCTGAGTAAACACACATATTTACCCTACATGTATAAGCTGCCTGATTGTAATCAAACTTCTAAGTCGAAGAGGTTTACCACCCCCACCCCAAAAAACCCATAGCATTGCACCCTAACCAAAATTTTATTTTGATGATGTCGATGTTGTCTTCAGTCTCAGGGTGGCAAGGAACCTGGCATAGAAAAAAATAAGAACAGTTTCAAAATACAATGATTCAACCTCCAACATACTTTAAACAATGGTCCAGATAACTATTGGAATGCACCTATTCCTTCCGAAAGAACATAGAGACCCATACGATTTCCTGAAGGCTGATTGATTGATTAGATTGCACACAACCAAAGGTGATTGATTAGAACAGATGGTAGGCGACGGATTGGAGTAGCCAAGCTGGTGCCCTCCAGATGTTATTGGATTCCACTTCCCATCCCCACTGACTATTGGACCTGGAGCCCACCACCACCTGGAGGGCGTCACGTTGGCTACCCACCGTGGTGGATCACTGGAAACCCACGAACCCGCAGAAAATGGCGCAAAGCTCTTTTTGACGCCGGTGCTCTTAGCTGCTCCCTCCTCTCCTGGAGCAACCAGAAATGGGCGTGCGCCTCTTTGGCTTTCGGGGCGCCTCTGGCTCTCCCATTTCCTCGCGCGCAGCCACGATCGAGGCGCCCCTCCCTTCCCGGATCTCGGCCCCCGCCGGGTCAGCGGGCCGGGCGCCTATTTGCATATTTTTACCTTTGTCTCCTCCGGCCAGCCAATGGGCGCGCGCGGCTGCTGCTCCTGGCCCGGCCCCCTCGAGCTTCCCATAGCTGGTGCAGCCGCCGCTTCTTCCAGCTCGCTGGGAAACAGGGGCTTCTCCGCCGCCCTCGCCGCCTCTGATCCTTTCTGCCAGGAGCGTGCGATCCTCCGGCAGCTGAGGACCGCTCCTCAGATAGCCAAAGAGGGGGGTGGGGTAGAGTAGATCCACACCCAACACCCCCAGCTATTGAAATCTACTCGATCGGCGGGCGATCGCCGCAGTAGCGGCGGCCACAAGCGCAGAGGCGCGATGGTTTGCGGCGGCTTCTCCTGCTCCAAGAACTGCCTGTGCGCCCTCAACCTGCTCTATACGGTGAGTGGAGGCGCATGTCGGGGGGAGCCGGGCGGGGCGCGCCTCCCTGGCCCACGCGGGGAGCCTGGCGCGCCTCTTTTCCCTCGCCGCCCAGAGGCAATCGGCCCCACCTCTCTTTCTCCGGTGGGTCGGGCAAGGGCCACCTTTGAGGCCTGGGCGGTCGCCAAGCGGAGCCTCCCGAGTTGGCCTGGGAAACCCGGTAGCCAACGGCCCCTGAAAAGCCGCCCGGCCCCTTTGGCGCGCCGGCTGCACCTGTTGGGGTGAGGCGGAGGAAGGGGGCGGCTTGCAATCCGCTCCGGGAAGCGCCTCCCTTTCTCCGTCTTGACGCCGGTGTAAAGGGCTGCGTGGCCACAAGCCTGTTTTTTTTTGGGGGGGTCCCCTTTTCCGGAAGCGAACTCCTCGCTTGGTTTTTTTTGGGGTGGCGCTGAAATTTCCCCCATCGAGGTTGCCCACCTTGCCCCTATGCCTTTAACACGACTGCAGAGCAGGCAGTAATAATTCAGCGTGGTCTCTCCCCCTCCCAAGAGTGGGGGAAGCTTCACTTGTTGAGCTTCTGCCTGCTAGGCATCGGTTTCCAGGAAGAAACAGACACCTGCCAGGAGAAAATGGCAAAAGGGGTGCGGTGGGTCATATTGAGCTGGAAAATCTTCCATGACGTAGCCTTATATTCAAAAAAAGAACTGGGCCAGGCAGCAGGTAAACTCTAAATCTACCTTTCCCCCTTAGATCTTACCCTTTACATGCCATGTTTACTACACCTGCCAGGTGAGGAAGTCAATTCTGCCCCATGAACCTTATAAACTTCCTAGTTTCCAAGGTGCTGCAGGATGTTAGCTGCAATCCTTTCTAGCACTTACCTGGGAGTAAATTTCACTGAACTGGATGGAACTGAGTAGACATGTTTAGGATTGTGCTGCCTGCCTTGCTTTTCCCCTTTTGTTTTGTTGTTGCAAAATAGTAACGTATCAATACTATGGAAAATGGTCTCTTACGTTTCTGATTACGTTGATATATATTTTTGAATGCCACAGGCTTTATTAATCACTTCACTAATTCACTTTAAAACACATAAAGAGAAGTAATTTCCTCCTCAGTTTAAGTGTTGTGCTTTTGTTTAGGAAGCTTGCCTATAAGCCATGTGATCACAGCTTTTATTCTTTGTTTCCCTGATGTGGCAGCAATGAACTCTTTAATCTGTTTAAGATGCCTTGTATCTCTGTGTTTTGACTGGGACTGTAGGTTGGACAAAACTTTTGTTTGTTTTAAAAAAACAAAACTGCTGGTATGTATCCCCAAGCACAGTTATTTGAAAGTGAGCTCCACTGAAATCAGTGGAAGCTACATCTGATTGACTTCTGAGCCAGAAGTAGGAACCTATGGCACTTAAGTGGGCCAGAATTACTTTACTTTACAAAATGCTTTACAGTCTTTGCTGTTACTTCATATAGTGCTGGGGTCTCCAAGATGGTGCCCATGGGCACAACGGCCACCTCAGACACTGTTTCTTCTGTAAAATGGGTATTTTGAGCTGCCAGTGGAAGTTCCTTGAGCTTCCAAATATCTCTCCAGCCCCCAAAAGACTGAGGACTGCTATAGCACAACAGTAATTTAGGATTGAACAGAATTAATCAGTCATTATTATTTTCTAGGAAATATTATTTTTTAGGGGGGCGAGCTCAAAGTTGTTAAGCTTTTTATTTTGGGGGGGAATCGCTCACCTGTCACAACAACGAATTGGAAAAAAATGTTTTTGTTTCCTGATTCGTCGGGAATATTTGATGCTATGGACTTCTCTTTCATTGCTTTTCTGCTTTTCACTGCTGACAAGAGGGACCAGTATACAGTAGGTATACATTCGGCGCCCCCCAGAATTCGACACCTGGGTGCCCTGCACCCTTTGCACCCCTAAGTAAAGACAGCCCTGTAAATTATGATGGTTACCTTTGGGAAACGATATTAGTCCTGCAATGCAGTAACATCACTTTCTGAATTGCATTCTAAAAAACCAAGCTCAAGCATTGTTACCCTAGAGAATAATACTGCTTCAAGTCTTCCCATGTTTACACTTACCAGCATCATAGAATCATAGAATCATAGAGTTGGAATAGACCACAAGGGCCATCGAGTCCAACCCCCTGCAAAGCAGGAAACACCATCAGAGCACTCCTGACATATGGTTGTCAAGCCTCTGCTTAAAGACCTCCAAAGAAGGAGACTCCACCACACTCCTTGGCAGCAAATTCCACTGTCGAACAGCTCTTACTGTCAGGAAGTTCTTCCTAATGTTTAGGTGGAATCTTCTTTCTTGTAGTTTGGATCCATTGCTCCGTGTCCGCTTCTCTGGAGCAGCAGAAAACAACCTTTCTCCCTCCTCTATATGACATCCTTTTATATATTTGAACATGGCTATCATATCACCCCTTAGTCATGGTCAAGAGAGAGGTACCCCTAGACCTGGAGCAATGCCAAGGTTTGTAGCTTTAAAAAGAAAAAAAAGAAAAACTTTAAAGGAAAAGAACTAAAAGGAAAATCCAAAAGGAACCAAACTAAAAAGGGAAGGCTGAAAGGAATCGGAAAAGTTAAGGCAGTGCATAATCCTGAGCGTCTGAGAGGAAGCATACTGACAACTGAGTTGGAGGGGGAATAGAATGAAGTGGCAGGAAAGAAAGGAGGCAAAAAAGATATGTAGAAAGAATCATCACATTGTTTGCATAGGTCTTTCCTTGGTCCATACTGAAAAATGTCCCCATAGTTCTCCATAGACATTGATGAACATAATGTAACTGGTGGACTTTTTTTCTCTCAGGGTGGGGGGAAGCCAAAATGGAAGACAGAGGAGACAGTCACCTAAAAATATGCCAATGAGATTTTAGAGCAGTCTTTCTCAACCTTGAGTCCCCCTGGCTAGCAGGACCCAGTGGTCAGGGATGATGGCCAACAAAATCTGCGGACCCAATGTTGAGAAAGGCTGCCTTAGAGTGTTAAGTGGTATGAGATGCTGACTGACTGATTGGAGCAGTAGAGGAAAGCCTGGGGCGGATACAATGGAGCAGGATCTCACCAGTGCTATTAGAAAAAGAAAAAGCTGACCATGCTATGTCAGCCAGGGGTGTATCCCTTCCAAGGACGTTCTTCGTAATATGTCAAAAGCCACACTGTACACTACATCCTGACACAAACATGTGAAAACATCACAGATACATGTGTGTGATTTGGACACTGGGGGCAAGGATGTAACCATGGCAAAGGTGCATATCTTGCCACGTAATGTGTGGAACATCTCTGGGTCTGGCCATTCGTCATCTGCTAGGCATTTAATTATGGGATGTATAAGTTTCACCTGTCAGCTCAGTTTGATTACCTGCCTTTATGTACTTGGAGCAGGGAACTGGAGTAGGCGGGGGAACAAGATCAAGGAGACTGGTAAACAAGGTGTTTGAATAATGCTGGACTCCGGAGAGCTATTTAGGGATTTCCAAGGGATTACTGCAGCCATTTCAAGTTTAAATTTGATACTGGTTAAAAATCCAGACGCTTGAGTAGTTTTTGAAATTAATTAACTAGAAGAATCGCGGCATTCTTTATAGCACTCAGGGTGGCCTGCAGTAATGTAAATGATAATATCAGGTCGTGCTGGAGCAGCTCTGTTGGTTAGAGTGCGGTGCTGGTAATGCCAAGGTTGCAGGTTCGATCCCCGTGTGGGACAGCTGCATATTCCTGCATTGCAGGGGGTTGGACTTGATGATCCTCAGGGTCCCTTCCAACTCTAGGATTCTATGATGAAATTCTGGGAGGAAAATAAAACAACACTACAATTAAACAACGGAAGAGCAATAACTTTGTTATTTGCTGTACCTGTCTGCCTAAAAACAGGATGGGGTGGGTGGGTGGTATCCATCCAGTGGCGTAGCGTGGGGGGTGCAGGGGGGGCCGGCCGCACCGGGCGCAACATCTGGGGTTAGGGCAAATCCATAGGTTAGGGGGCGCAAATCCACGGGTTAGGGGGCGCAAATCCACGGGTTAGGGGGCGCAAATTACTTGCCTTGCCCCGGGTGCTGACAACCCACGCTACGCCACTGTATCCATCCCTTGAAAAGATCTTAACAGGGTGTGTTAAATGTCTGCAGGAATACACTCCTGAGGGAGTCCCACTATCTTTGCGGGGGCACAGAGAAAGCCCTCTGCTGTGTCCAGTTGTGCAGGGGTGGGGAATCTTTGACTGAAGGACCCCTCCAGGCCTTTGAAACTGGCCCTTGGGACTCTCCAGGCCTTGCCTCCTCCCAGACCACATTCCTCATAAACCCTCAAATGCTTTTGCCTGGCTGGAATGTGTCCTTGAACTGCGATGTGTATCTAGAAGCTCCTGACTTTTGCATGGGCGGAATGTAGCTTTCCGTCCAAGGGTGAGTCACATCCTTTGCTCTGCCCCTGTTTACTTTTCACCCAGCCTACTTTTGCTTTGGGCCCTGCCTGCCACACTGGCAGGTCCCCCACCTCCCGCTCCAACTCCCCCAGAAGGTTTTCATGGGGGATTGTGACCCTCTGACCTAAAAATGTCAGTCCCCTCCCTGCAGTTGTGCTTCAAAAAAACAACAACAAAAACACTAGTCTGCTCAACAGCTCTTACGGAGTAAACATGCTTGCATGGCAGAAAAATCATCTATAAGTAGTGTTTTACCTTCACAGCACCAGGTTAGGCTCATATATACGGACTGTATGTGAGGAGCCATCATTAAATGGGTAGAGGACCATGCTTTGCATGCTGAAAGTGGCTGGAGTGGGATGGGGGAATCAATAGGTGATGGGAAGGAATCACTAGCACAGGCATCCCCAAACTTGGCCTTCCATATGTTTTGGGACTACAGTTCCCATCATCCCTGACCACTGGTCCTGTTAGAAGAAGAGGAGGAGTTTGGATTTGATATCCCGCTTTATCACTACCTGAAGGAGTCTCAAAGCGGCCAACATTCTCCTTTCCCTTCCTCCCCCACAACAAACACTCTGTGAGGTGAGTGAGGCTGAGAGACTTCAGAAAAGCGTGACTAGCCCAAGGTCACCCAGCAGCTGCATGTGGAGGAGCGGAGACGGGAACCCGGTTCCCCAGATTACGAGACTACCGCTCTTAACCACTACACCACACTGGCTAGGGATGATGGGAGTTGTAGTCCCAAAACATCTGGAGGGCCAAGTTTAGGGGTGCCTGCACTAGCAGATGTTCTCCAGGGTCTCTGAGTCTGTAATACTAGGCTACATGGATAACGAGCCTGACCTGAAATAGGGACCTCTCTAATTTCTGTGGTAATCTTGAGAGCTTTGTATCTGAATTGGCTGAGTATGAGTTGTATCCTTTTCAAGGCACCCCAGAATGCACCTCATGGAGAACTCCCTGCTTCATTGGTGCCCTTTGGAACATGGATGCTCTGGACAGCTGCTTTGGGTGCCTGTACCCAGATTTCTAGTTCTGGTTACTTAACACCCGACTTGGGTTGGCTTTACTGCTGAGGGTCAAGCCCTTAAAAAAAGAAAAAACGGTTTATTATGACTTTACATATCAAAGAAAAACAAACGAAGAAACAAAACTCAGAGTTTATATACACCTATTTGGTTACAGCAAATGTAAGAGAAAAACAAGTAGCTAACAGAAAATGTTTCACAAATGTACAGGCCGCAACACATACAAAAATAGACACTAAGTGAAACAATTGGGGAACCATCATAGAAGTACTCAACCAGCCAAACGTAAAAAGAAGAAAATTAACTCAGTCCTCCTGTAATATCTCTGCATAAAGCCCCACATAAGTTGATTTAGGAAGTCCTAAACATGCCCTTTCCCCAAAACATAATAAATTAAACTAACCATTGTACATGAACACACACAAACATTTTTTTCTCTCCTTGGATTCTTCCCCTCAGCTGGCAAGTAAGTTTTTCCATAAGGGTCAGGGTCAAGCCTTTCTGATGTAGTTGCTGCACCCGCAGCCTCAGTTTGAGTGGAGTGTGGCATAGACCTGCTAGTTTCCTTGAGGAAGCTTTTGTTGTGCTGTAACATAATAGCCGCTCCTGCCCATGGACGGGTGGAACATTTGGTATCAATAATGGATTGAGCTAAACAGGCATGTCCAAAGTCTGTTTCGGGGCCCTAATCCTGTCCCCACGGCCCTTCACTTCATCAAATCTGGCCCTCTTTGAAAAAAGTTTGGACACCACTGAGCTAAACCATTCCTTCCTTTAGGCAAAGCGGGTAGGGGCACATTCGTGACTGGCTTGCACAACTGGATAAGTGGTTTAGGCAAATTTTTAGACTGGGGATGGAGAATGGTTTTCAGCCAGAAGGCCACATTTCCTTCTTGGCAACCTTTCAAGGACCCAGTGGCGTAGCGTGGGTTGTCAGCACCCGGGGCAAGGCAAGTAATTTGCGCCCCCTAACCCGTGGATTTGTGCCCCCTAACCTGTGGATTTGCCCTAACCCCAGATGTTGCACCCGGTGCGGCCGGCCCCCCCTGCACCCCCCACGCTACGCCACTGCAAGGACCACATGTCAGTGAATGCCAGAGGCAAAAATGTGCCGAGAAACCAATGTAAATGTTACCTTTATACGGTAGACTAGTTTCTATGCACATTCTCACATCCCTCTCTGTCCAGGAAAGCAAGAAATCATTAGTGTTTTGGTACACATTCCAGTCACACAGGGTGTGAAGCAGAGCAGGGGGGATTTGTGGCCTGAGGAGACTTCTGAGGGTCTCATTCAGCCTCCAGCTCTGCAGTTCCCTGTCACTGCTTCAGACGGTTGCAGATTTCAGATTTTGCTAGCTTATGTTGCAAGAAAGATGTTTCCAATAAGTGTTTGTTGCTTATTTAGGCTGTGGTTCTATGTTTGGGAGTGTGTTGTTGAACACAGTACCCATTTACTTGAGAGTAAGCCACCGTTGAATTCAGTGGGGTCTTCTGCATCATCAAATATGCATAGTATTGCCCTGTAAGAATCACCAATTTTGTTATCAAGCGGTGAGCATTCTACTCAAGAGACTGAACGGTTCTTCTTGACTTTTATTTTGGAAGCTTGGGGGCCATTTTACCAATTTTGCTTTAAAAGAATTAATTCTTGCACAGAAATCACTGGGAGCTTTCAAAGGCGATGTGGTAGGCGAATGCACAAAATGTGACTGCTGTTCACGTTTGTATATTTAGGCTCCTAATGGAGTATACAGCAAGAAGCCCCCATTCCTTTCTTTGGTAACACCATGATAAATGTAGGCCCCTCCCTTCATAAATGATTTTTGACTTCATGGGATGCTTTGATATGCCAGACAATAAGCAGTTAGCAATATTTGTGCAATCAACCAACATCTCAACCTGCTTAGCATATCTCGTAGAAGATGTGTGAGCTACACCAAAGGCCCTTGCAATAACTCCTATAACTTAGAAGGTGCATGGATGACTCAAGCCTGCTTCACAAGATGGCCCTGATGATCAATGGAAAAATACAATGGGAACTATTGGATTCTGGCTTCTTTCGAAAGTTGATGGTTCCTGTTTTTGTGAATTGCATTAGCAGACCTCCTTGTTTAGAGTACTGGAGGAAATCATTACTGGTTTGGGAAGAACCTTCTTTGAAAATCGAAACCTTGCAACTTATGTTGCAGTCCAGTCTGTTCATTTGCTAGGTGAACCTTCAAACTCCAGATACTTCTGCAAGATAAATTCTTGGCCTTCTCAGTTCACTGCTATCTAATGTTGCCTTCACTTCTCCCACATTATAGCAGAGACTTAAGTGGCTCAAACTTACTGTGGTTTACGGAAACACAGGAAAGGCAGGAGCTTCCTGCATATAAAACATGACCTTGCAAGCTGACCTAGCTGAACCTAATCTTCCACTTCAAAATGTCATCCAGAACAGGAAAAACAGCTGTATCCCCAAGGTTTTCAAACTTGCTTTGATCAAATTCAGACAAGAAGGGCTTGGTGAGAGTAAAAAGCTGTCTTCCTGTTAACAATATTGGATGCACTCTTCCCAGCAAATGACGTCTCTTTGGTCAAGTCTTCATCTCGCAGCCTCCTGTGTCAGCAATATAGAGAATGCTGAAGATAACACGTTGGCAGCTCAGTCTGCAGTTACCCTTCTGTGGTGTGAGATTTCTCAAGCCATTTGAACAGCCGAGGATCGCAATTAATTTCCTGTGCGACTTAATTGTTGTGAATTTAAAGCACTTCTCTTCACTTGCTCATGGGTGTCGAAACAATGCACCTAACAAATCAACAACATATTATTCATCCTTCTGGGTCATTACACAACGGCCTGATCTGACCGCCTAGTAGAATATTTCCAAGAATGTTATAGGACTGATACCTGCCCATGAGAAAAAACTCCCTACCCTGCTCCGTCGGCTATTTGTAGGCACTGGTGACTTGAAAGAACTCATCCCAGTTGGCAAAAAGTCTGTTTTGCTTGGAGTAACAATCTTTTCCAGGTTGTTTGGGACAAGTAGATGGCAGTTCATAATGGAAGCAAAAATTGTATAAAAGGAAAATGGACATGAAGGCTATTTTCCTTCCATCCACCGTTCCTCCATGTGCCCCCCCCCCAATTCTTCCCAAAATATTAAGGTCCCAAATTATACTAAAGGTAAGACCTTGAACTTGGTAGTAAGTTTCACTGAGCTCAGTGGGACTAATTGCAATGTGCATGGATTTCATCTTTATATCTTTCTCTTTTTTGCTTTTTAGGAAATCCCAGTAATCCCTTTTCTTCTCTCACTTTCCTTCCAGTTGGTGAGCCTGCTGCTGATTGGAATTGCAGCATGGGGCATTGGTTTTGGCCTCATCTCCAGCTTTCGGGTGGTTGGAGTAGTCATTGCTGTGGGGATATTTCTCTTCCTGATTGCTCTGGTGGGGTTGATCGGCGCCATCAAACACCACCAGGTGTTGCTCTTCTTCGTATCCTTCGACCTGGGCAGTTTTTCTAACACACAGCCCATTTTCCACGGAGCTATTTGTAACCCTATTTCCCCCCTTTATCTGCCTCAGCGACTCCTTGCATTGCAGCTCAGTCTAAATGCGCAGAGTCACCTAAAGCACAAGGAACATTGATCACATGGTTGGCCCTTGACCCAGTTATGACATTTTTATTCCCCCCCCCAAAAAAAAGCTGTTTCGTAAAGCAAACAGTTCTCCATCTATAAATGGGTCACAAGACGGTGGTGGTACAACTGGTTTCCTTGAAATAGTTACAGATCACCGATAAGGAATGCCGGCTTGTTTTCTGGGCTTTCTGAAGCAATTGTATACCTTATGCTTCCTGCAGCAATCCTGTTTTCTTCTAGAAGGCAGCGCTGCTTATGTCATGCACAAGATTGTAGGGTGCATACTTAGAAGCCCAGCGAGAGAAGAATTCTTGAACACGGGAGACCTGCTTGCCCTTTCCCAGCTGCCTAAAAGCCCTGCTTGAATTACTTACCTAGCTGCTTCCCAGCTGGAATAGATTTATCATGTACATATACTGGCTATGGCATGATCTGTATGGTCCAGTATACCTGAAGGAGCGTCTCCACCCCCATCGTTCAGCCCGGACACTGAGATCCAGCGCTGAGGGCCTTCTGGCAGTTCCCTCATTGCGAGAAGTAAGGTTACAGGGAACCAGGCAGAGGGCCTTCTCGGTAGTGGCGCCTGCCCTGTGGAACGCCCTCCCAGCAGATGTCAAAGCAATAAACAACTATTTTACTTTTAAAAGTCATCTGAAGGCAGGCCTCTTTAGGGAAGTTTTTAATGTTTGATGCTGTACTGTTTTTAATATTCAGTTGGAAGCCGCCCAGAGTGGCTGGGGAAACCCAGCCAGATGGGTGGGGTATAAATAATAAATTATTATTATTATTATTATTATTATTATTATTATTATTATTATTATTATTATTATTATTATCTGTCCACTGTTAGACTTTTCATCCATGCATTTCCTCCCTACAGAAAGTGCATTTAGACTTGCAAGTGTCCAGTGTATGCCTAAAATTAACATTTAAAGCTGCCTCTGAGATAGTTTCGGAGTTAGTGACAAGGGACAGGGACTTTTTGGTTGTGACCTTCCACTTAGGGAATAACTTGCCCAGTGAGGCCCACCTGGTGCCAACATTCCTGTCTTTTCAGCACCAGATTAAGACACTCCCCTGCTTAGATTTGCTGGTCTGTGATGGACTGTTCGTTATTAACTACCAGCTTCTAATGGTCTTTGGTTATTGATTATGTATTGTGCTGATATTGATTGTGCCAATCTTTATGGGGCAAGGTGTGTTTGTAGTTTGTGTGTGCATTGTATGAATTGTTTTTGTTTTTATTGCCTCGTTCTAAATTTTGGATGTTTTATACTTTTTGTAAGTTGCGATGTCTGGGGTTTTTTTAAAAATCACATGAGAAATATGATGCTAAATGTTAGTTAATATTAATTATATTATTTTTATTATTAATAACGCCCATCAGCCCCAGCCAGTCACGGATGATGAGCATTGTTATCCAGCAACATCTGGCGAGCTATAGATTTTCCACCCCAGTGTAGGAAAAATGATTTATATTTATTTTTTAATTGTAAAAATATTTATACTCCACTATTGCATTAAAAAAAAGAAGCAAAGTGGTTTACAACAATAATACATAAAACCATGCAAATAAAAAAATAAATAAAAAAAATCAGCTAACTGTTATGGAAAGATGTGTTCTTAATTGCCTGCATAGGCCTGGTGAAATAGAAGAGTTTTCAGCAAATGTTTAAAAGTTGAAACAGAAGGCACTTGATGAATCTCTGTTAGCACAGTATTCCCCAGTACGTGGTACCTCGGGTTACATACGCTTCAGGTTACAGTCTCTGCTAACCCAGAAATATTACCTCGGGTTAAGAACTTTGCTTCAGGATGAGAACAGAAATCGTGCTTTGGCGGCATGGCATCAGCAGGAGGCCCCATTAGCTAAAGTGGTGCTTCAGGTTAAGAACAGTTTCAGGTTAAGATCAGACCTCCGGAACAAATTAAGTACTTAACCCAAGGTACCACTGTATCAGGTCTAAGACATGAAGAACTCTATTTCTTTGTCATCGTGAAATGAGCTTCCATCAATTTGGGTAACAGCCAGTGATCCTTCTGTAGTTGGGAAGAAAAGTGGTTACTCACTAAAATCCTTCAGGTTACAATCCCAGATTCACTTACTTGGGGGTAAGTCCCATTGAACTTGCACTCAGTGGGGCTTACTTCTGAGTAGACATGCATAGAATGGCTCATCTGACTGCTGCCAGCATTTTGGAGAGAATGGCGTCAATAGAGAATTTCCCCCATACATCATCCCACGCTTTCTTTGATAAGAAACAAAAGACATTTTTTTCTGCTTAAAAATGATTGATGGGTAATAAATCCCGCCCTCCATTGCATTTGTGTCATGTGGGGGCTTAGCAAAGGCCCTTTCAGTAATGAGGCTTAGGAATGCCACTTGTCAGTAGAGGTAATATGAAGAAATGATTGAAGCAAGATTGATTAAAGAGCAACTTGATCCAAGGCAGGCAGACTGGCAGGCTGGTCAATCAACCAAAACAGAGAATAGTCTAGAGTAGTTTGTTTCTGATTCTCACCCTTAATGGCACCAGAAAAAAATCCTCTTGTCTGTGCTGATTACCTTACTTTGCCTTTTGATTGGACTCCCTCTCTTCCAAGCCAAGAGAGCCTAGTTTCTTGGCTAAAGAACCCCATTTTGTGCATACAGTTAACTTTGCGTTTTCATGAATGATACACATGATCTTGTTGACCTTAACTACGTAACTTCAGTATATGATTATTCTCTTGCTAGTGTTTATTATACAGTTTTCAGTCTCCTGTGCTTGTTTGACATTGAACAAGGAACAGCAGGTAAGAGATGGCTTGTGACTTCTTTGCCTAAAACCGCTCATAGCTAAATCTGGGTGCTGCTTTTCCGTAGAGAAGCGCCTAGAGTGTCTTGCAACAGGGCAAGAGCAGGAATATGCGTCATTGCTAGAAATAATCTTGTAACTATTCAATTCAAAACATACAGAGCAATCAAAATAGTTCGAAAGCACGTCAAAGTGCAAGTAGATAAATAGGTACCACTGTGATGGGAAGGTAAATGGTGTTTCCATGTGCTCTGGCTTCTGTCACGGTGTTCCGTTGTGCCAGAATTGGTTTAGTCATGCTGGCCACATGACCTGGAAAGCTTTCTGTGGACAAATGTCGGCATCCTCGGCCTGTAAGCGAAATGAGTGCCGCAACCCTGTAGTCATCTTTGACTGAACTTAACCATCCAGGGGTCCTTTACCAATGCCCTTTATACTATACTATAGTTTAGTATAGTATAAAAAGGTAAAAGACCCCTGACAGTTAAGTCCAGTGATGAACGACTCTGGGGTTGCGGTGCTTATCTCGCTTTACTGGCCGAGGGAGCCGGCGTTTGTCGCAGACAGTTTTTCCGGGTCGTGTGGCCAGCATGACTAAGCTGCTTCTAGCAAAACCAGAGCAGCGCACAGAAATGCTGTTTACCTTCCTGCCACAGTGGTACCTATTTATCTACTTGCACTTTGACGTGTTTTTGAACTGTGAGGCTGGCAGGAGCTGGGACCGAGCAATGGGAGCCCATCCCGTCACAGGGATTCGAACTGCCGACCTACTGATCAGCAAGCCCAAGGCTCAGTGGTTTAGACCACAGTGCCACCCGTGTCCCTTTAGTATAGTATAGTACAGATTAACCAGCAGTATAACCAGCTACCAGCCCCATGCAAGGGCCAAGACAGGAGCTAGTAGTTGGGTTTCTTACAGCTGTTACGGGATGATGGTTGGTCAGCTAGCTACTTTGCTGTCTTGCTCTGTATGTCTTTCCTTCCTCCTGTGATTGTGTTGTGGACATCAAGAGGCCAGCCTTAAAGCTTGCCCATTAACCCTCCTCCATCCTACCAAGAGGGGCCATCTGCATCTGTCACTGAAGAAAAGAATGGTCCCCTTTCCCAGCAGGCAGATACATGGTATAGAGTTCCACAGCCACTGTCATATATCGCCCTCTCTCACACACATATGAACCGTCACAGCTGACACTTATTCCTCCACACATTAACACTGATGGCTGAATGCTCTACATGCCACTTGGAAGCTACAGAATGTCCAGGAATTTTCAAAAGCTGCGACATACTTAGGTATGGCCCAAGCCTCACACCCATCATACCAGCCATCAAGTTAACCAGTCTGACGCTTCCATGTCAATCTGACCCTCCTTCAAGAAGAAGGATCTGATTTTTGTCTTCCTTCACATCTAAATTTTGGGTTCCTCCACTTGCAGATTAACTGCCCCAAACAGAGATTGTGATGTGTACAACTTGGGAGAACTAAATATCTTCTGTGAAGACATGAAACTCTGTTAACCTAATATCTTTCAGGGTTTTTGCATAGAGAGTTGGAAGTGGCTTCTGCACATAGCGCTGATTATTCTGCTAGTTTTTGCCACAACGACTCTGGAAAGTAATTTTGCAATTGTCATAGAAAGCTCATTGAAAAGACCAGCATGAGTGTGCTGTAGCCAGGAAAGTAGTAATGCAAAGAATTGTCAGATAATCGTCCGAAAAGAAAACAGCCCATTTACTAGCACATGGCAGAAGTCTAAAGGTTGTTCAACAAAGGAATCCCAGTGCAACAGTTGCACTAGTGGAAGCTTGTTGCACAGCAGCTCTTTTGTGCAATTTGTTGTGTGACAACCTTTGGTAGTGTGCTTGCAATTTGCTTTGCACAACAGTGTTCCACCAGTGCAACTTGTACACCATGAAGGGACTTTAACTTATCACTACGTTGGATACAACGTAAGTCCCAGATGGTCAAAGGCATATAAAGATATGAGTGAAGGAAGATAAATAGCTGTGCCCTTCATAAAGCTACAGGGAAACATGAATTTCTTCTGTGTGGTTAGTTCAGATAAAATATCCGATCTGGAACAATGGTGATAGTGCCAACGCATCTCACTATACAACCATGCTGGGGAATAAGAACTGTCATGTCAAATGGTTGACAAAGAAAGGGTACCCACCTGCTAAATAACTTCTTTATGTATTCTAGAGCAAGCTTCTAGAAGTTGGGTGGAACAACACAAACAGTGCCAAGCAGGATATCGAGAGGAATCTAAACTGTTGCGGATTCAATAATGTCAGTGAAGCGGACACATGCTTGGCCGTGAGTAAACAACTCTGTTCCATTTTCCACTCCAAAGCCTGTTTTTAGAAGTACTGGGCAGCTAACTCTTATCAAGTATCCACAATTGCCTGTCTTTGAAAGAAATAATTTGTTTACCTTGCATGTGAGGTACCTGCATTTTATTGGAGTTTAATCACACCTAGAGGGTTTTTATAACTTTCATAACCTTCGGACACTAGTTGTGAATTTTGGCCATTAAATTAACAGCACCGCAAGGGATTTTTTTTGAGGGGAAGGACATAAATTAGAAGTATTCCTTGTATACGGAAAACGATCTTGATGTGTAGGGCTATATGACATCTTAAGTGTATTTAATCTTTGCTTCGTTACAGAGCTGTGTTAAGCTACAGTCATGTCGCCCATGTGCACCAATAATCAAAGAATACTCTGGGATGGTGTTGAGATTTGTCGGAGGCATTGGACTCTTCTTTAGTTTCACGGAGGTAAGAAAAACACGGCTTTTGCTTTGTAAAAAGCAACAAGGTTTTTGGGGAGAAGCCTTCAGTGCTAAATGTCTGACGTAAAATAATTGCAAGCTCTCCTCTTGAATCATTGCTGCGGGTTTCTGTGGTGGCAAAATTGTCATTTACCGTATTTTTCGCTCCATAGGGTGCACCGGACCATAGGGCGCACCTAGTTTTTAGGGGGTGGGGAAATCAAGGGGAAAAAAATCTTATTTCCCCCCCAGCCCCAAAGAGCAGCGTACAGGCTAAAACAGCCATAGCCCCGTGCAGCTTCTCCCTGCCGGAGGAGCTGCGTGGGGCTATCCCTGAAGCCTGAAGAGGGAGAGGGGTCGGTGTGCACCGATGCCTCTCGCTCTCCAGGCTTCAGCGAAAGCAACGCGAAGCCTTTGGAGCTTTTGGGAGGCTTAGCGTTGGTATCGCTGAAGCCAAGGAGCCTGCATTCACTCCATAGGACGCACACACATTTCCCCTCAATTTTTGGAGGGGAAAAAGTGCATCGTATAGAGCGAAAAATACGGTAGTTGATCATTCAACTGATTATTGGTTTCTCAAGTAAGTTACCGCTTGGGAAATAATAAGGGTATGTATTTTTTAAAAAAATCTGAACTGTTTCTGAGGCATTGTTCATTCGCTGCTTCCATCTGCAATTTGACTCCCGAACCATTATGTGGAAACAAAATACAAACCACAACAACAAAACAAAGTAGGTCCATCAAGCTTGACATCTACCATTATCTGCTCTATGTGAATACTTATACCGTAGATGTGCATAGAGCTCTTTCATGCAAGAGGAGTGTAGCCCAGTCAGATGGAGCTCCCTTCACACACCAGCCAAGTACGCAGACAGGCCCACCTCAGGGATTTGCCTCCCTTGCTCACTGTTTCAACACAACCAGATGGCGGTCTGGCCCCTACCTGGCCCCCCGGGACAGCTATGTTTACTATGTTTTGGCTACTTAGGTAAAATGTGGTGGTGGTAGGATATGGAACTTGAGAACTTACGATCTCCAACAAATGATTTATTTCCTCTCTTCTCTTCTCTCTCCCTCCCCTCCTTTTCTTCAGATCTTGGGTGTGTGGCTCACCTACAGATACAGGAACCAGAAGGATCCTCGGGCAAACCCTAGTGCATTTCTTTGACCTGGAAACTTTCTCGGGGGACTGAATATTCCTTTTCCTGTGTTTTTAACCATGAATTCTCTACCAATTGGCTGCTTTCCACATCAGCCTCGGCCTTGTGCACTTGAGATAAGATGGCCTGCCTACAGCTGCTTCTCATCTTGGTTTTTCTTGTATTGCCCTTGGATTAACTGGCTTGGAATGTCACCTGTGCCCCTAATCAGAATCTGGATACTTTAGGAATGTGGGGGGAGTTCTGTAGGAGCTCGTCTAATGTTACACTGCCCAACCCTGCATTCTGGTCTTTGACAATTGCTTGCTGTTGCCTTCGGTGGGCAAAGAGGAGAAAAGAGATTTCTGATCTGTTTCGTCTGCCAGAAATTCCTTCTGAAAGATCAGTTTTGAATGCCCAAAGCTGTGTTATGAAACCTGATGTAAATTATGATGCTGTTGTTTCCAACTTTGGTATTATGGGGTGTTAAAAAAAAACCCACAACCACCACCCAATAACGTAGACGTCACGGGATGTAGAAAATCATTTCCCACCCTGTGTTCTGCTTCTCTCCTTGTTTCCATAGGCAATGTGAAAACCTGTGTACATTAGTTAGTGTTTTCCGTCTATTTCAGAATTGCCATGGAAACGTAGTGATTCCATTCCAGAGCCCTGTTTTGTCATTTCACTGCATTAATGGATTGTATGTGAGCTTCTTAATTCACTGCAACTCTGTATACACACACATGAACACACTGGATTGCAATGGCTCCTTGCCATTCAGAATGGTTAAAATTCATACTAGATTCTCCTAGAGTGTGGCACAAGGGTAGCCAATGTAGTCCGCTTCAGATGTACTGGATTACATCTCTCAACCCTGACCATTGGCCCTTGGGCTGGTAGAAGGTGGAATCTGACAACATCAGGAGGGCACCAGCTTGTTTACCCTTGATATAAAGCTTATCTTCAACATGAAACAAGTGATGATGAACAGAGATATGAAACTTCATTGTATTACCCAATAACTTGCATTTGAATGACCTGTGTGTAGTTTAAAGTGGCTAAAAGAGAGAATAATGTTTAGTTAGCTTGTCACACTAAGAAAAACTAGTCTTGATGCCTAGAGTTCTCATATAAATTTAATCGGTGTAGTAAGTTAATTGTGATACTGCTGTTGGTCTTTAAATAATTATGCTCAGTCATTGCTATTTAAAATACTTTTACCGCACTCGGTATTTAAAATATTTGATTGTAAATGTGAACTAGAACATTACAAATATGTATCTTTGTAGCACATGGATAAAAAAATAAAACTTTTTTTGGAAGTATGTTAAAAACAAACAAAGAGGTAGAGTCAAGTGTCATGCACTATAGTTGAGAGCTCCCAATGAAGGGCTGGGCTGGAAAGCACTGTGCTTCCTAGTCAAAGCTGTCGTTCTAAAATGACGTGCGTGGATCGCTTAAAAAACCCACACAAAAAAACCCACCTTGAAGTTGGGCATTGTGGTTTTTTTTAATAGTAAAAGATCTGGGTGAATTATTTCAGGGGTAGGGAGCCTTACAAAATCCCAAAACGAAAATGAGATGCAAGGAAATAACAAATTGCAAAGCAAGACCAGCTGGGTAAACTTATTGCAAGGAACAGACTGTGGAAAGCCTTAATGGAAGCATGCGCTTAAAACTCTGGCACAAGCTAGCACAAGATGCCATGATGGCCGCCAACGTGAACAGCTTTAAGAGGAGCTTAGACAAATCCTCTGAAGGAGTGTGTATGCAGCTTGGGGGCTACTTCTGGACCCATTGCTGATGCTTGAGGCTCAGATGGCCTTGGTGGTGTGGAGTGCCTTCCATCAGCTTCAGCTGGTGGACCATCTGGACAGGGATAGCCTAACATCAGTTGTCTATGTACTGGTAACCTCTAGGTTAGATTACTGCAGCATATTATACATGGGGCTGCCTCTGAAGATGATCCAGAAACTCCAGCTGGTGCAGAATTCAGTGGCCAGGTGGCTCACTTGGGGCAGGAAAGGTTGAGCATATTACACCAATCCTGGCCCTACCACACTGCCCATTAGTTTCCAGCCCCAATTCAAAGTGCTGCTTTTGACCTTTAAAGCCTTACATGGGCTCAGAACTACAATGCCTCAAGGACCGGCTCTGGACCCTGCCATCAGCATCTGACACCCTTCTTCCTGTGCCCCCTACACAAGGAGGGTGGCAACATGTAAGCAGGAGACTCTTTCAGGTAGTTCGTAATTTAATGGTACCACTTGCACCATCGGGGCCTGACAAGGCCCCCAAGATCTCCTGCAATGATTTTGCAAAGTCGCTCAGATTCGGAAAGAGGTGGACTCCACCGTGGGAGCAGGGCCAGGGTGGGAGAGTGCTAAAGTCCTGTCTAGTCAAGTTGCATGGGATCAATTCCCATCGGTTACCTCCGAGGATGTGAACAGGCTGCTTGGACGAGTGAAACCAACCACCTGTCTCCTTAATCCTTGCCCATCCTGGCTAATAAAAGTGAGCCAGGAAGGGCTGGGCGATGGGCTCTGCAGGGTGGTGAATGCTTCACTCTGTGAGGGAGTCTTCCCAGCCCCACTGAAAGAGGCGGTTATTAAACTGCTTCTTAAAAAAACATATTTGGACCTGGCCTTGGCCCAGTATACCTGAAGGAGTGTCTCCACCCCCATTGTTCAGCCCAGACACTGAGGTCCAGCGCCAAGGGCCTTCTGGTGGTTCCCTCACTGTGAAAAGTGAAGCCACAGGGAACCAGGCAGAGGGCCTTCTTGGTAATGGCGCCCACCCTGTGGAAGGCCCTCCCATCAGATGTCAGGGAAATAAACAACTATCTGACTTTTAGAAGACATCTGAAAACAGCCCTGTTTAGGGAAGTTTTTAATGTTTGAAGTTTTATTCTGTTTTTAATGTTCTGTTGAAAGCTGCCCAGATGGGTGGGGTAGAAATAACAAATTATTATTATTATTATTATTATTATTATTAAATTTTCTGCAGTGGCTCCCATTTGTGGAATGCTCTCCCCAGGGAGGCTCACCTGGCACCTTTGTTACATATTTGTAGTCACCAGGCAGAGTCATTCATCTTCGCCCAGGCCTTTGGTTAATTAAACAACTTTTGTTTTTTGGGGGGAGGTGTATTGTTTTTGTTTTTTCTTTGTTATGCATTCGTGTGTTTTTATGCTGTAAACTGCTCAGTGTTCCTCAGGTGAAGGCCGGTATAAACATTTTAATAATGATAATGATGATGTGCTCTTTTTCCAGAAAAAGAGGTGCCAGAACTCACCATGAACACCCCCCTCATTTTCTTAGAATGGCAGTGGTGCCCACCTGAGAGGTGCCAGAATTCAGTTCCGGCAAGTTCCGGCTGAAAGAAAGTGCTGATGATAATGCTAGCCTGTTAGACTGAGGTACAGTGAAGGATGCTGTCCCTTCCGGCATTTGTGTGTGTTTTGGAATGGGCAGGAGCAAGCAGAGTATGAAGATTCAGCTGTGGAATGGATGGTGATGTTTGGTTGCTCTGTCTGCCTTTGTTATCCTGGTCAGGCAATGTACAGCATGAATATTTAAATGCTGGTATTTATTAGGTGATCAGACTTTGGTTACAAGTTATTTATTTACACGCTCCGATGTAGAATGTGTGACATAACGAGCCAGCTAATCAAACATTAACTATTCAACAGTTTTATGTAAATTAAGACTGCAGGTGAGGTAATGGAGACTTTTCTGGCACATTGACTTGTGGGAAGCCCTCTTTCAACTCACTTAGTTATTTGACTGATTTTCCTCCATTCGGCAGGAGTAGTTTATATGTTCCTGATGGAATGGGAACATATTTGGCAGGAATGGTTTGAGCCAGAATGAAACCATGGGCTCAGCCTGAGGACTCTTGGTCTTTACTGGTTGAATAGACAACCACAGTTGCCTTCAATTGATAGGCCTCTGTTATTCAAGGACCCATATTTACTTTAGTGCAGGGATGGGGAAATTGTGATTCTCCAAATGCAGTTGGACACTAGTTCCCATCAGCCCCAGCCGGAATGACCAATAGTCAGGAGTGATGGGAGTTGTAGTCCAACAACATGTGGAGGTCTGTAGGTTCCCTGGCCCTGATTTAATGTGCCAGAAGGAATCACTGAAGAATGGGGGCTGTTTTTGTGTCTCTCATCTGAGCCCTTGACTCACTGTAGAAACCCTTTAGCAAATCATCAGAGTTTTGGGGAAAAGGAATATCCATTTTCAATATTTGCATCTTGAGGCCAGCATTTTTATGTGGTGGGCAATGGTCTTGTTGACTCTTTAAAAAAAAAAAAAACCACCCCAAAATATTCGCTTGATAAAGCATTAGAAAAAGAAAACACACAGGGAAAGAAATTTCACAAATGACAGAAAATAGTGAGACGCCATTGAAAGTTTCTCCATCAGGTTTCCTTAAATATAATTCATTTCTCAGGTATTGCAAAAGCTGTATAATTTTCCACTGAATTAATGCTAGGAAAGATTTTACACATTTACTCATTTCCAAACAGGAATCGATGAACAGTTTCTCTGTATCTCTACGCAGGAGGGGATATAACCCTTGCTGAGGAGGGGATATAAGTTTGGCACACTGCAAATCCAACATTTAGTCAGCTTCCCTTTGGATGTTTCAACAATAATTTTCTCAGGTAGGGCCAGGAAAGACCCCTGTCTTAAACCTTGGCATAGATGATAACTGAGCAAGGTGAACCAGTGAGCTGACTTAGTAAAAGGCAACTACCTGTGTTCCTGTATAGAGTTTCACCTGGCAAGAGAGGTGTGGCCCTAAAAAACACAGCTGGGGAGCCACTCTCCATTAGAGTTGAGGGATGCTAACTGTGATCTCCAGAGCCTGGTATTGCTTCAAAACTGAGCCAAACCTTTGTGCCTTTTTTTTTTTTTTTTGCATCAGCTATGCTGACACCTATAAGGATGTAACTGACTCACTAACACACCAAGTCAAATATTGACCTTCAAAGTTTTCTGCTGTTTTGCTTCTGATTTCTCTTCCTCCACCAGCAGCATAGAGAGGAACAGCAATGGTGGCAGCACCCTCACCTGTCCACCAGAGGGCACCACCACCACCACTGACTAGTATTAAGAGACAGAAACCTGCCTGAATTCATGATCACCAGCTGAGGCGTATGGCAGACAAAGCTCGGTTTATTATATGTGTCCCCCTCTCCCTGCATTAAAGCCTGGAAGAGCTGCTCTTCACTCATGGCTTTTGGATGGTGATGGTAATAGAGAAGGTCCAGGTTCATACCTGTAAGCTATGGCTAACATTAACTGAAGTTCATAAACCACAAACCTTGATCAACAAGTGGCTTTAATCATGGTTAATAATCCATAGCTAAGTGACTGGGCTGGGTTCACACATACAGCCAAGCCATACTTTAGCTAATAATAATAGTAATAATAATAATAATTTTGGTTTTTTTCAAGGGCAATTCTTGCTTAAGCACAAAATGTAGATTTGTCAATTTTGTGTATACTCTCTCTCTTTAAAAAAAAACAAAAAACTTGTTGAGAACAGTTTTAGTTAATCACACCCTAAAATTTATTGGTAGCAGATTCAGGGCAGGCAAAAGCGGTTCTTCACATAACATGTCATCACTGCATGAAATTCACTGCACAACGTAAGAGGGCCGCTGACTTGAGCGGCTCTAAAAAACAGCATGAAGGAAATTTTGGAATGCTGAGTAGGGCCACTCCAAAATTTGCTGGACTGCAACTCCCACCATGCCCGACCATTGGTCAGGCTGGCTGGGGCTCATGGGAGTTGAAGGCTATCAATGTCTAATGGTCTACCGGCTCCCCAGCCCCAGATAAACTCATGGAGATACCATGAAGTAGAAAGTAAGGCCAGTTTCGGAGATCGTGATCCAGTGAATGCCAGTTGCTGGGGAGGTAACGGTAGAGGAGGCGTTCTCATGTAGGTAGGGATGTCAGAGAATTCTGACCAAAAATGGAAATAAGCAGACCAGGCAGTTTGCTTTTTCTTCTGCCATCAGGAACAGACACCATTCACACAAATACAACTGGCAATCATTCACATTGCTGGTGGGCAGTTTGAAGTCTGCTGTCCATTTGCTGACATTGGAAGCTGCCTTGCATCGAATCAGACCATTGGTGCATCTATCTCAGTGGCCCATCGTATGTCGCTGGACCTCCAGTAGCCCCAGCAAGTGTGGCCAATGCTCAGGAATGATGGGTGTTGGAGTGAAACAACATCTGGGAGGGGGGCGCACAGTTTCCTCAGCCCTGGTCTGCACTGACTGACAGCAACTCCCCAGGAATGGAGAGGAGACTTTTC